AGGTGATTAAGCGTCCGAATCTTGGTTTCGGCACGGGTCGTGATCTCACAGTTCATGAGATTGAGCCCTGAGTTGGACTCTGTGCTGACAGCACGGAACCTGCTTGGGGTTCTCTCTCTCTCTCTCTCTCTCTCTCCCCCTCTCTCAGCACCCCCCTCACTCTCACTCGCACATGCCAGCTCTCTCGCGCTCTCTCTCTCTCTCAAAATAAATAAATAAACCGAAAAAAGAGAATTGGAGAATTTCGTAACCAACGTGAAACTCAGCAGGGACTTGGAAGCACATGGAATTCTTTGTCTAAATGGAATATTCCAGCCACACAGTCCTTGAGCACATACATAGAGGCTTGATGGGAGGCGGATGTTTAAACAGGTGTCAAACATGACACGCTGGGGTCAGGGGTCACTATCCTTACTCACGTGCAAGCCTAGGCTTTGTTCCTAGAACAAGGTAAGAGAGGGTATCCATTAAAACGATCTTCTCATTCGTTAGGGATGGATTCTTTCTGAGAAAGAGACAAGAGATATCAGAATAAAGTCTTGTCTGAAATAAGGCCCTAAGCAGATTGGCCCGCTCTTTTCGGTCCAAAAGTTATTCACTCTCAAGACCTGAGGCCCTCCGTAACCCCAAACCTATGCAAATGAAGGCCAAGAGGAGAAAAACCCCAGAGTTACTGCCTGTTTAACGAGAGAGAGGGGCACCAGGCTGCCTCAGATGGATGGTGTGATTCTTGATCTTGGGGTCATGAGTTCGAGCCCCATGTGGGGTGTAGAGTTTACTTAAAATAAAAAATAATAATAAAAATAAAGGGGAAAGAAAACACCGGCTGGCTCACGAGTGTGGCCAGTGGAGCCTTTTGGCCCCTCCTAGCCGAGGAGCTGGCTCTGGGCCCAGAGGAGGCCTCGCTGATGACGCCACGGGGGGCACTTCTGGGTGTAGAAGAAAGAGACAACATGTTGCCTTCAACTTGGAGGTGCAGGCATTTCCACGCGTTTTCCACCTGAACACGGCGAGTTTCACGTCACTCTCCCGAAACCGAAACCTTTCCCCCACTCAGGTTTGGCTTCAGATTCTCTTACCTTCTGTCGCGCGCAGAGTTTTGCCCAGAAAATGCTTGTCAGTGTCTCCTCTTCAATTTTGACCCTCTCGCTCTAGTGACCGGCCAACTCAGGGTCGCCTGATACATTCCACTGCTTGTTTTCACAACTGCGCTCCCACCTGGAGAAGTCGAGTGGAGCGCAGTTCATTTTCATCCCCATTGGAAGGGAAAGTGTTTTCCGAGTCGTCCTGAGCTGTCCAATATTGTCCATCTGTCCCCAGAGCTCTGAAGGCAGCCCTGTCAGTCTTCCGTTCTTAGCAGCAAGAGCTCCGTGCTCCGTGTGGTCTGATATATCCTTCCGATCTTCTGATACATATTCTCACATATTCTCTGTGCCCTTTGTAGTCTGACTTATTCTCCCGACCCCAAGGGGGTTCGTATTTGACCTCCCTTTTCCTCATTATTTTTCTTCCTTTCTAAAGACTTCTTTCTAGACCCTTCTAGCACTTCTGTAGATTTCTGGCTTTCCAGCTTCACGTCCTTTCTGATGAGCGGTCGACTCTTACCTTCAAAGGCAACCACCTTTTTACGAGCTACATGTGGGTTCCACTAAGCCCTCTGCTTTGTCTTTCCAGAGATGAGCCAAACCACTCCATCAGAAAGTCGTGTTCCGATCCTGGATTTCTCATAGAGATGTTGCGGTTTCTCTCATGTTCTTTTTTTAATATTCTAACATTTGCCATCAAGTCCTCTCAGACTCGATGGCTGTCCTCTGTCGTCTCTTGTCTCTATTACCACGTGGACCCGAATGCAGCGCCCTTGCCAACAATCGGAGAGCCTCTTCGAACATTACGATCGCTTCTGCCTCTACACTGCCTGGTGGCCTCTTTTCTTCCTCCGCAGTCCTCTTTCCTCTTGTGCACTGGTGGTGAAAGTTCCCGGTGTCTTTTGGGTTGTCTTTCTTCCGTTGAATGAATGTCACAGCATTTTCAACTGACCCAGAAGGTAGCTAATGGGACAAAGTGCTGCCCTGAAAAGTTCAAGTTCTGGATAAAACAGATCTTTTTTTTTTTTTAACGTTTATTTATTTTTGAGAGGGAAAGACAGACAGACAGAGGGTGAGTGGGGAGGGGCAGAGAGAGAGAGGGAGACACAGAATCGGAAGCAGGCTCCGGGCTCCAAGCTGTCAGCACAGAGCCCGACGTGGGGCTCGAACCCATGAACTGTGAGATCATGACCTGAGCTGAAGTCGGATGCTCAACCAACTGAGCCACCCAGGTGCCCCAAAAAGTATTTTTCTTTTTAGAAGGCATAACCCTATCACCACCACCTTCCCCCCAAAAGGAAAAAGATCTAATAAAACAATCCAGCCACACACATTAAAAGTTGTAGAGAACAGTTTCTAAAGACCACCTTCACTTTATATACACAGAGGGCTCAGTCCCCCCAGAAGCCACAGACAAGGGATGCAGATTATACAATTTCTTTTCAAATATTGGGCTGTATATCTTTTGTTGTTCATGAATAATTGAGAGCCTGCCTTAATCTTGGTAGAGAAATAATTCCTAGGAATGTCCCTCCAGATAAGAAAGAAATTTGCGGTCCAAATCAGGACAGATGGCCTAGGATCTTGACTAGATGTTTCTTACCTGCAGCCATACCTTATTCTAAGGATTCCATAAGTAGAGCTGGGCAACTATTTGTTTTATTGGCTTAGAATTTTATCTATGATGCTGTAGCACAAATCACTGTTTCTACCCACTTTCCAACACCTTTCTCTCTTTCATTTCTCACCACAACCCCAGCAGACAAGCATGTTCTTCCTCCGTCTTTACAGATAAGGAACTTGAATGTCCGGAGTGCGCAACTCACTCTCCTGGGGTCCCACAGCAAGTGAGGCCAACGGGCACTCAAATCCAGGTCTTCTGCACCAAACTGTGGGCTCTTTGCACGACATGGCTGTCGCCGCCCCACCGCACAAGCAGGAAATCACTGTTTGGTTACTTCAGTGTTAATTCCCTGAATTTGAACCGGGGGTCACCTTTAGAAACTCCCGTGTCCCTCTTCTACATGTAAAATCAGTCTCCCTGGCCAGAGTGGAAGGCCCCTGGAGAAAGGGCCGTGTGACTCAGTCTCCCTGCAGTCCCCAGCATGGGGCAGGGCCGTGTTCCCTGGCCGCGACCTCCAGGAACATGTCCTCAAGACAAGAACCCTCCACCCAGTCTCCTCTTGCTCCTGCAGGTCAGTCCTGGGGGACAAGACCCTGATGCCAGCCTTCACAGAGCAGCCGGCTGCAGGAGAGTGCAAGTTTTCGGGATCCCAGGGGACTGTCTGTCCCTCCAAAGCCCAGCGCTTCTCCAGCAGACCCCGCCTGTGCTGGGCAGGAGCCACAGTGCAGACTACGGCCCGTTTCATTTCCCACTTCTACTCGCGCATAATTCAAAAATTATGCTCGTAACAGCTTTGTCAATAAACCTTCTGATGTGGGATAGGTCTGCACGTGAGCAGTGGTTACGAAATCAAGGAAAACTAGGGGCAAAGAGTGGACGAGAGCCGTGTCCCGCTTGGAAAGCAGGCACAAGGGCCCTGCACACTCAGCCCTTTGCGCTGAGTTCTGGGTTCACGCTCAGTACGACAAATGGATCGCCGCGGGTCCTAGAAAGAGCAGTGGAGCCGAAGGAAGCCCCAGCATTGGGCTGGGCCCCTGGCCATGATACCTAAGGAGTTCACCAAGGGCACTAAAAAGTTAGCAGTGCTGACTTGTAAAAACACTTCTCCCACTCCCTCGGGAAGTTTCGAAGCCCCTCTGCCTCGTTCCTCTTCACCCTTAACGTCCACGACACCACGTGTGTCCAGTGTCACCTTACTGGCCGAGCTCCAACGGACTGGCCATCTGTAGCCCTTGGCAATTCTGAATAGGAGGTTCAAATACGCAGCATCAAACTAAGGGTTCAGCCACTAGATGGAAAGACTGCCCCGATCGAGCCGTCTGGTTCTCTGCTCAGAACGCCAGCAGGGAAGATATTTACCAATGCCCTATTGTTCCCACATATCAACTGTTGCTTTGTGTCAGTTCATTTTAGCCCTGGCCATCGCCCACGCCCACGATGTTATCAATTATCACCTTCTGCATTTTTGTGGTAATGAGCAACGAGTGAATACACGCAGTTCACAGGCAGTTCTGCAGCTCGTTAGATGAAGCATTAAGGTTCACAACAGATTACAATGCTCCTTTGGGACAAGGTCTTTGCCACCGGCCGTCACAGACTCTCGCCCCCCCAAAAGAGGAATCTGAATTAAAAACTAGACCAACCAAATTTGGATATTGCTTTTATTTTGCAGAAAAAGGCCTCCTGCTGATTGTCTTTGGCTACTTAAAAGACAAACATAAACGATCATAGGTTTAACAACACAAGAGATTAACTACCGATGCTCGAAATGAACACGTTCTAGTGGGCGGAGCGGGCAAGTCTGCGTTTCAACTACAACCTGCCGTCCTCGGCTGTGACATGATCCTGTCCTTCCCGGCACAGACCCACCTGTGACCGCCGCCACAGAGGGTCTGGGAAGTCCTCCAAAGCCACAAGGAAGAGAACTGAGTGTGCGTGTCTCTTGCACGAGTAGGACCGGTGGGGTTTACAACTGCCGGTGGGCCGAGGCTGCACGGGCCGTATGAGAAACGCCACGTGTCTGACCCCAGCAAATGGCGTTTATCGCGAATCGCGGTAAATTCGGGCCGCCGCGCTGCGTCCGTGCAGAGTTCCCTGCGGGTGCGCGGCGGGCACGGCACTCCTGAGGGACAGCGGGACACGTGTCCCTCCTAACCGTAAAGGGAGGGTGACAGGGCCTGTTTCCTTCCCTCAACCCAGGAGCGGCCACCTCGGTACCTGGGAGGTGAATCGGGCCCGCACTCGCAGCCGCCACAGAGAAGTCCCGCGTCGTTTACGACACAGGCCTCGATTCACATGGAAGGTGGCGACACGGGCGTCCACGAGGCTATGAGGCGGGCTTGGGCCGAGGCGTCGTACTGGCTGTCAGGGATGTCTGTGGCCGCGGGGGCCCCTTCGTACAGCGGGGATCCCGAGGAGGGGGAGGCCGGGACCGGGTGGGCCAGAGGCGCCGCGTGTGCGGAGGGTCCCCGGAAGAACTGGGCGCCCAGTCCGTTGGACATCCCCGCGGCCTGGGCACCAGGCGTGATGGAGCCGCTGCTCACGGACCACAGGCTCGGGTACTGGCTGAAATGCAAACGTGGAGACAGTCAGGCAGAGACCAGGAGTGGGGCCCCAGACCGGCTGCGGGAGGGACAGCAACAGCCAACGACCCGAGTGCTGACCAGGGCGCCGGACAGCGTCTTCCAAGCAGGTCACCCGCTCTGTTAGTCAACCACACCCTGAGGTGTGCACAAGTGCCGGGCACACCTATCAACAAGACACACGACCGTGGGAGCCAGACGCAGAGCACTGCGCACGCACACGGCAACTCTCGCTGCCAAGGACGCCAGGCTCGTGGTTTGGCGCCCTCATGCAGAATCCCGAACCCCCGAATCCCCCCAATCGGATGCTTCGGCATGCCCCCACCCCACTGCACCGACCCTCGAGAGGCAGACAACACCCTCCTGAAGCATGATGGTTTGGAAGGTGCTTCTTACGGTGACTCCGAAATAGACACCGCCCTCTGCACCTTGTCCTGGGCAGCAATGCCCACCAGCAGGGCGCGGTGCAGCAAGAACGGGTCTGAGAGTCTGACCCGGAGCCCCGCCCTTCCCTAGCTGCGTCAGGGAACACTGGCCTGTAACCAGTTTTGAGCCTGTCTCCCAATCCGTGGAAGGAGGGGTTGGATATCAGTATTAGACCCTTCGGTCTGGGAACATAGACTTCAGCAGGTTGCAAACCTGCTAAAATCGTTTGGAGAAAACGTCTTCCTATAAATGAAGGCGACCTTACTCTACGTGGTGCTATAATGCTTACTGAGCCATGTGCTGTATTTCAGCTGTATTTGAACTTGAAAACAACCCTGAGTTGAAGGAAGTCGTCTACTGCCCCCTGTTTATAGACAGAACACATGGCTCTGAGATGCCCAGTCCGGATGGTGCTGTGGGGTCCCCCCCCCCCGCCAGGGGTCTGTAACCTGCAGGTGATTCCATTTCTGTGCTGGTTTCTAAGCGACCGTCCCGCCCTTGAAAAGTTGGCTGCTTTACGCACCTGAAGCGCTGTTTGCTTTATTTTTTACAGGCAGACACTTAGATTCTTATTATCAAAGAATTCTTTCCTAGACAAAAGAATTAAGATCTGAGGCATATTACGGTATGCTAAATAGAATAAAGGCACTGCTTTCGAAGTCGAGATAACTTGTCTACAGACTCATTCTACCGTGAGCCACCAACTTGCCAAATCATTTAATATCCCTGAGCCTGTTTCCTCGGTAGAAAATGAGAGTTGACTTTCAACTTTGTCTTAGTTTTTTATAATAATCCTAGGAAAACCCTCCGTATGTTTGCCAATCAGCTTGATTTTTTAAGCCCATCTCCCCCTACGTTATTTTCAAGTTAATAATAAAGCATTCATTGTTCTTTACTAGTTACCAGCAACCACGTAAGGACTTTGGTCCTATATCCACAGGAAAGCCAACTACATCTTTTCCCTTAATTCAATAGCTCTTCTCAAAAAAAGGTGCTAGAAACGTTTCTTCAGATTACACCTGCTGACCCCAACTCTGTTAAAGACAAAGAGATGGGGTCAGTTGGCATTCTTGTAGAAACGAGGCTCCGAGAGTTTAAGAGACTTGTCCTTCGCAGGAACTAGTAAGTGCCAGAGCCAGGATGGGGGCCCTGGCTTCCCTGTGATATCTCTATCCATGCCTCACCGCGGTCATGCAACCTGGGATCCCCAGGTTAGCGGTACGGCTACAAATAACTGCCCAGCCACCCCCAGGTGAAGGGCAGAATAAAGACCAAGGATGGAAACGGCAGGACGCCACATTCGGGGTCCCAGGACGCTCTGCATCATGTCCAGACGTACGTTACCTGGAGCCAGCGGGCGGGCCGGCGCTGTGGCCCACGGGGAGCATGCTGGTATGGGCGGGTGTTCCAAGGCTGGGCCAGCTGTCGTGGGACTGGAGCATGGATAAGCATGCAGACGGATTGTCAGAATAGGCTGTGGGAGGTGACAAGCCATCGTTATGGACGCCATTGGCCTGTTTCATTGGTCATCAAAGGCAAATACTTATGGCCATACGTCTGTTTTGGAAAATGCATCCAAGTCAACCCAAGCCTTTTCTGTATCTTTAGATCCGCAGATGCCCCGTAGAAACAGAATCCTATAACCACTGGATGGGGGATTAATTATCCTTAAATTTTGTTAACGTTTATTTATTTTTGGGAGACAGAGAGAGACAGAGCGTGAGCGACGGAGGGGCAGAAAGAGAAGGAGACACAGAATCCGAAGCAGGCTCCAGGCGCCGAGCTGTCAGCACAGAGCCCGACGTGGGGCTCGAACTCAGGGACCGCGAGATCATGACCTGAGCCGAAGTCGGACGCTCAACCGACTGAGCCACCCAGGCGCCCTAGGGATTAATTATCTTTAAAAATAAAAATAAACAGGGGCATCGGACTTTGGCTCAGGTCACGATCTCGCGGCTCGTGAGTTCGAGCCCCGCGTCGGGCTCCGTGCTGACAGCTTGGAGCCTAGAGCCTGCTCCGGATTCTGTGTCTCCCTCTCTCTCTGCCCCTCCCTGGCTCCCACTCTGTCTCTCTCTTTCAATAATAAATAAACATTAAAAAAAATAATAAATGTAACTTCAGCCTGTCTTTTCCCAAAACGTTATTTCTTAAGATTTGAAAGGACTTTAGAAACACTTGCTTCAGACAAAACTATGATCTTCTAACCTCAGGGTCCAGCCGCTGGTTGAACAAGTCCCAGTGACTATTTCTTTCCCAAATAAGCTCCTTTCATTTCAAATCAGCGTTAACTGTTTAATTGTTTTATGGTGTTCATTAACTATGTTCCTCTTTTTAGAGCCAGACAATATCGAGTCTAGCCATGCACGGTGTTAGAGGAAGTTAGGGAAGGGATGTCAGTGGTCCAGCCCTGTGCTCACAGTCCTTAAGCGCTCGTCAGGATCAGCCGGAAGACTGCGGATTCAGTAGGTGTGGGGTAGTTTCCAGGTGATGCCCACGCCGCTGGCCCAGGCACCACACTTGGAGAGACACTGGAAAATCACGCGTGGGTCTGGTTCAGCCGGTAATTCTCACACCCATCTGACCCGGCATCATCACTTTAGAGGGGTCCATAAAATATCCAAAGCTGGGCCCCCGGAGACAGACCCGCAGCTCAGGAAAAACGGATGCATTTCAGCACCGCAAGCCCCCTGGTCCGGACCTCACACCTTCAGTGCGAAGCCCGCGGTGGGCGGGATGCGAAACGAAGGTCCGTCTTGAGCCACGAAGGGGCTGGCTTGGGTCCGCTCCAGAGGACATTCTTCCAATCCTGGTCTCCAGAACCCATCCTACCGATAGAGGCTTTTCCAGACGCGGTCTCCCATCCACCCCCAAAGCCCCGGTCTACTGCGACTTAGAACTTACTTGGAGAATTATTCCGATGTGCATAAGGGCTGGGGTAGGGGGACGGACGGTGGTTCCTCAGGGCGGGGTACCTTTCACAGCCGTGAGTGGAGGGAAGTGAGAGGGGCCCTCCGAACTGTGGGTGGGGGGCGGCGGGCGGGCACAGGGTGCTGGTTCCAGGGATGAGCCACCCCCCTGCTGTGAGAAAAGAGTGCTGAGTAACTGGCATTTGCATACCTCCCTTATTTAAAGGACAAGAGAGCGGAGACCAGAAAACCGGGGGTGTCTTCCTGAGGGGTCCCCGACGAAGAGAGGACTCATAGTGTCTAACACCAAGTCCCCAGATCAAGTCCCGAGGCATCTGGGCTTCAGCTCCACATGAGAGGCCATAGGCGGACGAGGGTTTCCACAGCCACAGGGCACCCGAGAAGGGCTGGGAAACCCCAGCCTTGGCCAACACCTGCTGCTTCCTCACCCCCCTGCCTCAACCCCCCAGAACCTTCCGAGGCCCGTCAGCTCCCAGGCCCTAACTGCTGAGCATGAAAAAAACGCGGAAACAGATGAAATTCAGAACCAGACGCGCTCAAGACACATGGAGCGACTCGCGCGTGGCGCCCCCCCCCCCACCCCAGGAGCTGTGTCCCCACTGGAGCCAGTTTCCTCCTGCTTTTCTTCTGCTCTAGGCTCAAGGTTCTCCCCGTCGTGCATCAGAGAATCACTCCCTCCACACCCTGCCCGCCTCTCACCCTCCAATCTCTTCTCCAGTCACGGGTTTTTAAGGCATTTTTTTTTTTTTTTTTTAATTCAGAAACGCAACCTCTAAAGGGACAACTATTCTGGCTCTAATTTCCAAACGACAAACAATTCCTGGGACAACATTTCAATGAGGGAAAGGTCCCGTGTGCCGAGCGGTGGCAGCCCACGCGGGAGCCACTTTAGAAGAGCTGTTTGTTAAATTAGCCGAGAAGAGGGTTAAAGAAGAAATAGGCCGGAAACGTGCCATGCCTCTGGAAGAGGCGGCAAACGTGAACTTTTCTGTCCATTATTTAAATTCCAAGCCCCTTCCCTGTATAGAGAGGACAGCTACACGGAACTTGGTCTCCTGATGGCTCTCTAGACCCGCACCCCCGGGCTCTGGCTGGTGCAACTGGAAAAGGGAGCTGGACTGGGAGCCTTCTTCCCAGCCTGCAAGCCGCCGTTCCCTCTAAAACCAGCCTCAGGTGACGGCCACCCCCGGAACCGAAACGGGCCAAGGGAAAAACCACACCGCTCACGAGCATCGTTCCCAACACGATCCTCCAGTCTCCTATCGCTGACAAAGAGAGAAACCGTGTCTAACGAGCTGGCTTCTCCACTTGCCCAACACGGCAGGGTCCAGCCACCCACCAAGATCTCAGCGATCCGACCCAGCCCTGGCTCGAGCTGCCTCGGAGCCGGACAAAAGAGCCCAGGTAAACTCTCCCCGGGCTTCTCGGTCAAGGGTGCTGAATGGCACCCACAGCCCTCCCAGTTGGATCGAGGGTGAAGACCAGTAGTAAAGGAGCCTCAACATCATGGGCCCACGTGCCCTGCACGGCAGAAGGGCGGTCAACTCCCCCAAACGCGCCGCGGGTCGCCCCTCCGGCTTCCGGCCCTCAGCTGCCTAGTCCCCAAGGGAAGGGACGCCGAGACAGAGTGCAACAAACCGTACATTGGGAGTACCCGGGCTGCTGGCTGTCTCCAGGCTCCTCCGTCATATCCTTGTGATCGCTTCTGTCAAAACAACGCATCGAACTGTCAAAAAGGAGAACTTTTCGGAAAACTGCATTTGCAGAAATATTTCCTCTTTCTGCATATTTCTTGGCCCGCAGGGTAGAAGTTAGAAATCTCTCACCTTTCCTTTGCGTCAAGGAAAGCTTTTGCAAACGGATTGTATTTAATTTTAAGAGCTGTGATCTGAAAAACAAGAATTCACGGTTACTGGTGCACTGCTCGTCAGCCGGAGGATTGTTTGGTACCGGGAAATTGGGAAACATCAGTGCGTCCCTTTAAAGATTCCGACAGAACCGGACCCCCTCCCGGTGGATTTTTCTGTTTGGGTCTGAGGTGGCTGAGCGATGGGAACATTTCACAAAGTACGTTGTTAAAAGCTGCTTTTCTGAGCGGAAATCACGGGAAGGAGTTTAACCCGCGGCTGACAACGTTCTGCGCGCAGAAATCAAACCAACGTGGTTCAAAACATAACCCGGATCTGCTTGGGAAAGAGCGACCTTCCAGGGCCCTCAGGTGGCCAACACGGACAACCTAACCAGCTCATCACAAAACGTCTGCACGCGGGGCTCAGACTTCGAGATTTACAGGCAGGGACCAGGGTTGGGCACCTTGCGGATTCTTGCCCCTCCCCGCTGCTGGTCAGGACGCTTTCCAAAGATTTCCTCCCTCCCTCCCTCATCTTGCTCTCAAGAAATTCGCACGGCACTTCGCCTAAAACTTTTGCTCTTTTCGTTCGGAGATTCATTTGCTAGATGGTTCTAGTTTTAGACGCGTTGACAGAGAAATAAAGGCAAAAGGCCTGGCCAAGGACCGGGACTAAACTTTTCGCCGCTCGGGGCCGATTCGGGCCGATTCGGGCCGATTCTAGGCTCATGGCAGGTTATCTGATGAGGCCTTACTTACCAGGCTAAAATGCCCCAGGGCCCCACACGCAGAGTCTCTGCATGCTTTGTGAGCTCCGAGGGAACGTCGCCCACCCGGACGCCCTCTCCGCCGCTCACCTCCTCGTTCTGATAAGCGGTCACCGCTATGAACTGGGTCTCGGGGAAGCAGTGGCTGGTGATCATGCGCTGGGCGCCCCCAACTCTCACTATGTGGATCCGAGGCTCGTACTTATGTAAGGAGTTCAGCATGATCTGGGGGAAGCAGAGAAACCAGACCGTCAGATAAGGAAACGTCCCTTGCCCTGCTGCGGAGGAGAAAAATACACGCGATGTGCACAGAGCCGTGGAGCTCACAGCAAAGTGTCTCTTTGCTGGTAAGTGGGCGGGTTTCCCCACGGGCACTGCTTCCCACGACTAGCGTTAAAAAAAAAAAAAAGGAATGTGAGATGCTACACCCCATTAAAGGCAATGAATGCCCATCATGAAATCCTCTGACCCGGTGGAGTAAACTGTTAATGCTTCCAGGATGGGAAGTAGACGTCTTTAAAAGCCTGAGCTTGTGTGCGAGGCGCTTGAACCTGGGGTCTCCCGGTTGGGCTCTCAGAAAATGCCAAATTTACAAGTTTGTTCAGAGCACGGGGCCACATGGCCGCCCATATTTAGCTCCAAAGTGACCACTGCCCCTCAAGGCTGGTTATTTTCTCTGCCCCTAGGGCGGTCGCGGGCTTGATTGCAAAAGCTCCCCCCAGCCTGAGACCCAGACCCGCTGAGTCTTCAAAGGGGAAGCTTTGCCCCCTGCCCCGCGCTGCAGGCCTTGGTGTTGCCATCATCGCTTTCCCATAAACAACACCGAAGGCTTAATTGAGGCCGGCGGTGGCAGTTTCTCCCGGACACAGGTCACCTGGCGCGCAAGCACAGCCCCTCCCAAGGCTCCGCCAGCGGAAGGTGCGGCCCCCGGCCCGCCTGGCGCGGCCCCTGCCCCTGCCCGGCGCGGGCTCCATCACACCTACCTGACCCCCTCCGTTGAGCTTGTTGGTGAGCTTGACTTTGCTGAAGGATACAGGCGCCTTCATCCAGTGCGCCCCGAAGTTGGGCGAGTCGGGGTGGATGTAGACGCAGCTGGGCGCCTGCGGCTCGGGCTTGCCGCCCGGGACCCACTCTCCGTTCACATACTTCCAGCGGTGGTTGTCGGCCGCCACGAAGTCCAGCAGGAAGGAGTACATGGCGTTGGGGTCCAGGCCGGACACGTTCACCTTCAGCACCGGGAACATCCTCCTGGAAAGGAAGGAGTGCGGCAGGAGGACCCCCAGAGAGGAGCTTTCGGACGGAAGGCACGCAACCTGGGACAGAGGCCGCTGTCATGTGGCGGCAGACAGAAGCCCCCACGCCCCCGCTTCCCAGAGCCCCCCTAGGTCCGCAGGCGTCCCCCACGCACTCTCACGGCCTCCGGAGGCAGGGTCGGGGAGCACTGGCCGAGGGTTCTCCGCGCGCGGGGCAAGCGCGTGTCCCCGGGACGCCTCCCGAACTTCCGCGGGGAAGACCTCAGGAGAGTGGCGGCGGGGGCACACCGGGCTCCGCGGCCGAGCGAGCGGAAGGGGG